CTGAAGGCACACACGTTTTTATACAGTATAAAAATTACTTATAATCATTTAAAATTCTATTCGAATATTATTATACTATATATACTGTAAAATAATATATCATATACTATCATATACTATCAAAGAATTCTGTATTCTTTGATAATATTGTACCGTTATCGCGTTAAGTATCTASTCTCGCCCACCGGTGGTCTGGGTATTAACTATGATGATTTTGGTTACGCGAAAAGTGGTTTTGTGAGTTTGTATGTACTTTTGCATTCCTTGTTGATATGTGCATATAGTTTATACCGATTGCATTCACCAACTAAAACGACTCTAGATGGCGTTGAACAATATTTACATGGTACATATATATATATATTACTTTATGCTCCATACATTCAAAAATATTTAAGGAATATGTTGCTACTTATATATTGGCGTCTCAATTAACTACGGATAATGACAAAGTACATTTAAATTTGCTAGTGATGATTTGTGCTGGGGTTTTTTAAAATTCAATTTGTTTTTTATTAACCAGTACTATTAAATTAATATATATAATATTTGCTTGTTCATATATAAAATTAATATAAGACACACTTAATAACCTAATATCTAAAATGGCCGATAAACTTGTTGAGAATTTAGAGGAAGATAATTCTGTTACGATGCTTGATGTTCTTCAAGAAGAAAGTCAATTGGAAGAAAATGCTTATGCAGTTTTAGGTGCATCCGATGATAGAAATTGTACTTATAACAAGGTATGATAATAACAGTTGTCAAATTAACATTTGGAGATTCGTAGGAATGTAATGATATATATTTATACATTTATATATTTCGAGATCTTTATTATATAGCGTTTTAGAATTGCATTATTAGAAAAATAAAAAAAAATGGAGTATTGTAAAATACGCCACATTACAGAAGTTCGAGATTACAGGGATATATCAGACAGGCATTATATGCTTGTAAAACATGCTACTCGAAAAAGAATATACGTGCAGGTGTTTGTCTTGCATGCAGTTTCCATTGTCATGAAGGACATGAACTTGTTGAATTGTATACTAAAAGAAATTTTAGATGCGATTGTGGAAATTCTAAATTTGAAAACAAGGAATGTAATTTAGAGAAGGTATAAGATTTATTATAATGGATTGCATTATACTAAATGAGCGATGAGAAACATGTAGCAACTATATTTTCTTTTTACTAGTCCAAAAATGCAACAAATATTGAAAACATGTATAATCAAAATTTTGATGGTGTTTATTGTACTTGTGCAAGACCCTATCCGGATCCTGAGAATGAGAATAATGACGAAATGTTACAATGTGTAATATGTGAAGATTGGTATCATTCGAAGGTTGTAAACATTGTGAATATAATAAATATAATATAAGAAAAAAAAATAATATATAAAAATATAATATAATAACTCATATTATATTAATTTTTGCCGATTCTTTACCAATCTATTGCATTGATTTGATATTTGTACTTTTTAGCATCTTGGATGCAAAGATGTACCAGGAGATGATGCATATGCAGAGATGATATGTGCTGCTTGCATGGAAAAGCATGACTTTCTTTGGAAATATGCTACAAAATATTCAAGTAAATCAATAATTGTTTATATTATATAGTTTACAATTAATAACTGAGACATGTATCATTTTAGCAATGCACAATTCTACTGCATCTTACAAAAATGGGGAGAAAATATTGAACGTTGAAACCCTCCCAAATGGTTGTACAATGCCTGAAAAAAATTTATCAGACATAAAAGGTAGTTGCTTTTGGTTAGAGGGATGGAGAACTTCTCTATGTAGTTGCGAATCATGTAAAAAGGCATAGTATTTTTATTACCTCCAGATGCTATTATAAAGAAGTATTAGATTATATATTAAGATATATAAATAATAGTTTACTTATAATATTTTTAAACAGATATATAAAGAACAGGGTATATCATTTTTATTGGATCCAAAAGATAGTGTGCAAGCTTATGAAGAAGCAGGTAAAATAACTAAACGAGAATCACAATATGAAAAAGGTATGAAGGCTCTAGCATCTTTAGACCATGTACAGCAGTTAACTGCAATTGAAGGTAAATACTTAAGGATGTACTTATCGTTATATATTTTATATAGTAAAAGTAATATATTATACATAATGCCAACAGAATACAACAATTTGAAAGAAAGACTTAAAGAGTATTTACAAAAATTTGCGGAAAATAAAAAGGTTGTTCGAGAGGAAGACATTAAGGAATTTTTTTCAGAAATGGAGTCAAAAAAACGTCCAAAAGTTATAGTTCCAACATATTGTCGTTAAAATGAACAATTTTTATTTAACGATTAAATCAGCAAGATTTTTAATTTTCTTATTAAACATAAGAGATATCTTTAGAAAATATAATTAATGTCAGAAGATTTCTGTCAAAAGAAATATAATTAATAAATAATAATCTTTTTGTTTTCTACTAAAAACAAAAGATTCTTCTTTTCCTTATATTTTAAAGGGTATCATAAAGATATTTGCGTAATATGTTTTTATTCATTTAATTTTAAACTTTATTGATTGGGCAATGAGGAAGGCAGTAAAACACACCAAAACCGTAATAGATAATTAATTAAAAATTATTCTTTCGAAATCTTTAAATGATAATTTAAATTGAATTCTCTTTCTCTTACCGTTTTCTACTAGTTTCTTATCAAATCAAAAACGGATTTTTCATAAACAGTTGAGAGAGTTTATTTAATATTTAAATTAATTATGTATATTAATTATGTGTTACGCTTTTGATCTCTCGCTGTCGTTGACGATGAGGAACATACGAAAAACTGTGTTAAATGATTGATTAATTATCAACAAGTTTATTAATATTGAAACGAATCTTTATTAACAATTCATAATTTTTTTAATTATTTAGCGTGCTTTTTTAAATAACAAGATCTTCTTTAAACATTTGATTAACTATCAATAATTGGATTAATATTTAAACAATTTTCAATAATCTAATAATTGTTTTGTTATATTATTTAAAAATTTGTTGTATAATTTTTTAATTTTTTCGTATCGAATCAGATGAAAAGTGGAATATAACTTTAGGACAAACGAAGGAGAAAAGGCAAGATTTTCTAAATAATATTATTTGTTATAATATAGCATATTAGAATATAGCATTAGATATCTTTGTCAATTAATTTTCTCATTAATTCACGCTAATTATTTTATATTTTTACAAGTTGCTTTTGTACATATAAAATCATTTTTATTATGTAATTGTAAAGGCAAGACTATTATCGGATCGTTACAATTTGGCTTGTCTGTATAAATAGACCATGTTTTTTCAATACAGTCAAAAATTCCTGAAAAAAAAGAATCAAAATATTATTAAAAACAAAATGATTAAAAAAATATGTAATTATGTAGGTGTAATATCAGAGAGATTTACCAGTAGCGATCGTTTTTACATAATCGTCAGGATTTATATCTTGATAGACTCTAAACTCGGAATCTGTTTGGTCGCTAAGAATTTCTATAACATCTTGAAGACACTTAGGTGGTGGATGCTTACAAATTGCTTGCATTCTGTGTATACTACTATCTATTATCAAACCTTTTTCTTCCGGTATTTTCAATCGTAAGTATCTGAAATAAATCGTTATGGAAATTAAATGCCATTCATCATTATTATTTAATAAAAATTACGACAAGTAATCCTTACTTGTTACAGTGAAAAATATGTTCACCCGGACTTGCAGTTAATATGCTAAGCTGCGATTGAGTTCCATTGGCTTCGGTAGGTCCAACTTCAGCGTTATGAAACATTCTATCACCTTCTTGTTTAAGAAAAGTCATATTTACCGAAAATCCTTCTGCCGCGCCGTAACCTTCGTTTCTTAATACTTTTTGAGCTTCCACATAATTTTCAACACCAAGAAGCGCGCGAGTAATGAAATAACGTGCTATAATAAGTATTATTAAACTATTTAAAATGATCAATTTTTTTTTTCTAATTTTCTTATAACATTTAAAATATAAAATATTGAAATTTAGAATAAATTTATAGTCTTACGTGTTTTGCCAGATCTAAGAGTAGCTGCGCTGAGAGTATTAATAGTAAAAATGAAACCATGATGATTATAACCCATGGTATATCCTGGTAAAAATCCAGCATAGCATAATGAAATAAATTTTTCTTCCTTGTAACCATTTTCGATAACATGGGCGTTTACGAGATACCAATGGTTCAAAGTCTCGCTCAAGGCATCCTCATTATGTCCAATTATTTGCTGTACATTTTTTACAAACAATTTTCCATTTAACTTTCACGAGTAACATTGAAGATAATATACGAAGAATTATATAAAAAATAATAAGGAAAAAAAAAAGTAATATCAATAATAACAATACTTTTTTCTTCTTACTTGTCTTGGTTGATTGCAAATGATTGTAGAACACCCAACAGGAAGGGTATTTCCGGATGTTTCACCAATGACATTTGGCAAAATGTCATCTAGATGCATTAAGAACAACTACAATGATAAATAATTAGCATAAATATTTAAGATTCTTAGTAGGGTAACGAGAAACTACCTACGCAAGATAATGTACATAAAATGCTCAAAGAAAATAAAAATGTAAGAGCTATTATGTTGATTAGATTTTTCGTATAATCTTTTCGTGATAATTGATTAGCAATTCAAGTCTTTAATTTGAATAATTAAATTGAAAATGCATCTATTTTTTAAATTTTCTCTCTTTTTTTTTTTTTTTTTACTATGTTATTAATTTGATCGCAGAGTTTTTTTGTAAGCTACGAGATAACGAGAAACAAAAGTAAAATCAATTAGTATAATATTTTTGTAGATATAATGAGCAATGTATTACTGCAAGCATTTTATGTATAGAACATTTTGCATTGTAATACCCGTTTATTATACAAGTTGAATTACTTAACGTTAGCACCTGAAATATCATAATTGTTTACTAAAAATGAACATTCCGTAGATTATTTAAGCCATGACTATTGAATGTTGCTTCGTCCTTAAACAGAAAATTAGAAATAAAAACTAAACGATAAAAAATTCATTTCCATGATCTGGAATGATCTTAAATGATTATAAATAATTATAGTCATTAAATTCTTAATGATCAATAAAAAAAGTTTCCTAATAAAATGAGGAAGAAGAAGAAGAAGAATTCTTAATGAAAGTAATTAGTATTGTGTGTGAGATAATTTAAAAAAAAGGGTAGTTCAATTTAAAAAAAAAAATAAAGTAATTATGATATTATTTAGAAGCATTCAGAACCATTCAACTTTTTTTCTAAGACATTTGACGTATCTTTAAAAAACAACAAAGATATTTGAAGTGGTAACGTTAGCTGATCCATCCTGTATATTCTAATCAGAGTTTAAAATAACATATAAAGGTGAACGTTTTTATTTAAAGTTACCTTGGTAAAAGGAACATTGGCACCGTCCGCGGTACCCTGAATTTCTCTTATATATTGTGGAAATTGTTTTTTCACACATTGTAAAGTATCTTCGTAGATCTTTTTACCTTTATCGGTATTAAACAATTTTATATAAATTTCATTGAGCGGTTTGTAAGCTTCGATGTAATCTTGAATTAATTTGCCGAACGTACGTCCCTAGAAAACAGGAAAAGAAAGAAAAAAAACAAAAATAATTAAATAAAACAGGCAGACGAATATATCGATACTGGATTAAAATTAAATGCACTTTGTTTTAGCATAAATCATAATTTACTTCTTTTCATCTCGTATAATGTGTGTATTAAAGAAAAAATAATTTTACTTAAATATAAAGTCAACATAATTAAACGTAATAATATTAGATAAATGTTACTATGTATGTTAATAGGACACTAAAGATAAGATAGCATCTGAATTACTATATATGATAATAATATAAGGAGATCATTGATCGCAACACACCTCTTTAATCGTAAGACGCGGCATTAAAACTCTATTAACTTGCAAATCCGCTATTTTCATGTTCTTTTTTTTAGCATTACGATATAAGCAGTATTATATATATCATCTAAAGTTATTATGTATCGTAAAATTTCTACAAAGAAGTATTATGTAATAGTAATGATCAGTGCTATCTAATCGGTTACTGCAATAAAATCGTATTCTAAACACAGACAAGAAGTAAAATATGATATTTTTCAATGAATAAACAGTGATATCAAATCCTTAGACACTAATACACAAAAAGGACCAACATTAGGTAATACCTCGCGTAGAATAATATAACAATTCTTATTTTATTATTAAAAACAAATGTATGATAATTTATCAAAAAGAGATTTCTTCAAATGTAATTTTATATAATAGAATTGGTTTTGTCATTAATCGATTTTTAATTAAATTTTTGTCTTATATAAAAACGTAAGATAAATTGTAATAAAAATATTACGACGAATATGAGATAGAAATGAGATCATGGAAATCTGGAATTTATTTCAACATAAACATACGCCCGCAATTAAACTCACGCATACATATGTAAAAAGAACAAACACGTTTACATATAATTGAAAATTAATTCTTTCTATTTTTAGTTGAACCAAATCGTTTATTTTCCGATCAGTTATTATGATTTATTATCTGAATCGACAATCAATTTTTCATACTTGATTGATTTTTCTATATATGTGACGTATGACAAGAAATTTACCTTTCCACAATTTACTCAATCGTTCGTATCATTATGATTTTCTTGCCATCGTACTGTTATTTGTCATACCTGATAAGGAAAAATCTAATGCACCTTGTAATTAATAGTTACATAATATTTTATGCAACGTAAATTGTGTCCAATAAATTAGTCATAGCGAATTAAAATGAAGTAATCAATCGGGTATCGGGAAATTACTCTTCGATTAAATCCGATTAATATTGTTTTTTTTTTTTTTTAAAATGATATTTATCTTTACATGACAATAAATGAATATTATATATACCAAAGGTGGTTAACACGTCGATCGTGAAGTAATTTTTGGTTGATATATTTAAAATAGAAAATTATTTATTTTCTTCTCTGTGCAAATAAATTTAATCTTGTAAGCCAAAGAACTTAAGGAAAATGTTTGGAAATATATCAATCGTTAGAAGTATCTCAATACAGTGCAACCTAGATTTGCGAGTATAATTCGTTTAAGAATCTAATGCAGTCGTATATCAAAGTGAATTTCGTCATATGAAATGCATAATGAAGAATCGAATATAATTCATTCCACAATTATTTATTTTCATATAAATATTGATATATTGAATATAAAATATACTAAGAGTAAAAATTAATAAATTTAATTCGTACTTAACTTTTCGTATTTTTCGTATTTGCAATCATCATTAAATAAAAATTTGTGTCTCGTCTTGCGAAACAATCGTGAATGAAGTTAATTAATCGTATCTGCTAAATGTTCATTTTGGGACAAAAATTGCAGAGGAATTTGGAGATAATTAAAAAACGAAATTACTCGCAATCCCAAGGTTTCACTGTAGCATTAAATAAAACGAAATCATATATCTATTCTGGTTTTGGATCTACATATTTATGTGCATCGGTTTTTATCTATTTACTAATTTACATACTGAAAATTTATTTTATCCAACGCTTGAATGGAGACATGCGAACGCAGACTTCCTACTAATTACTTATTCATTACTTTATAATTACTTATATTAGTAAAATATCACATATAATGTAACTTAATACATTTTTCTCTATTGTCATATATTAATTCACAAGACACGTGTTTGAATATGTTAATTAGTAAGATTTTAATAAATAGATCGCGACACACTTTTTCAGACAAAAAATTAATTGCATATGGAATAAAGTTGACTACCCTAGATATACATAATACAATTATTGAATAACTTCTCGTTCGATCTAATATTTTCCTTCTTTTTTTAATTTTTTATATTTCTCTTTTCCTATTTAAAATTTCATTAGAGTGTAATAATAATATATTACATAAACTCGACTTTGCGGTCGTGAAAGTAGTCTTATACGATTAACATAGAACTTAATTATGCACTATGCCAACTCAAAGATTTATTCATATTACAAAATATGCACAAATATTACGAATGTAAAAATCTACCATACCAATTAACTCGTTTTTCAAATAAGTAAGAAAAGAAAAGAAAAGAAAAGAAAAAACAAGCATTAATTGTAACATATAATTATAATATATATATATATATATATTATTATTATTATTATTATTATTATTATTATGTCGAAAGAAAGTAAAAAAAAAAGCTTACAATGTCAAATCCGATATCATAGTAAGTTCCTCTAACGTGAATGATCGGTACAGCGTTTCTTCTACCAATATCTTTCGTCTCCTTTCCGTTTTCATTTGGTTGTTCCATAGTCGTTGTCATTTCTAAGATCTGAAATAATTGCGAAACACAAATCTTTGAAAGATTTTGATTAATGTTCTTTTCTTTGGTATGTTAGTTTCATTATCGCATATAATAGTCGTTAATTAAATTGAATTTTACAACTATGACGATTAACATGTATCGTCATTGCAAGATACTTCAAAATTTCCTAATAATTGTTTCTTTTTCTTTTGTTTTTTAAATATTTTGCATCTAGTTTGAAAGTAAAAAAATGGTATCACGTGGTAATAATACTTTATAGATAATCCGATATATTATATTATACATCAAAAAAAAACATAAACTGATAAACACGCAACCTGGTGCTTATTATCGATCGAAGCTCCTTTTTCTTTTTTCCAATTTTTCATAATAAATGAGAACAGTTACGTCGCACCTTCGGCTTGAACAAATAAAACATTTGTTTGCATTTCATTTATCACAAGAGTTTTCACCTTTTCGAAAATATGTTTCGATAAAACAAAACGTTACTGTTTCCTTCCTTTAATCTTTCGAATATTAAATGAAATTAATCGAATTTCTTTTTAACAAAATAATTATGTGATATTTAAATATTGATGCACTTTATATTTAAAGGTATACGATTAAATTAAAAAATTCAAAATTATTTAGATATATATAAGTAACGGGTGTAAATACGGAGAAATCGATGCGATCGATTTTTCAGGCTTCTAATAATAAGATATCAAGCACGCAAGAACAGCAGTCGTGAAACTATGAATGAAATTCTTTAGCACACTTTATATTTTACAAAATTTCATTTACAATTAGACAATACACATTTATATAACGATTAATTTATTTTTATTTAAAAAAGAAAAAAGAGTAAGAATAAATCAAAGTTACATTGATCGATCGGCCTGTCGAGTCACGTGTCGTTGAAAATTTTTGACAACGAATAAAATAGCATTCGACATCATCTTGATAATTTTTTTTTATATAAAGGGGGATGGAAAATATAAAATTCATAAAAGGAACGCCTTTTTTATTTATATATATATATATATATATTTACCGTTTGCAAAATAATTCCTAAACGCGGATATAAGAAAAATTCTTTCGATTGGTCGATATTTAAATTATCGATGTTTCAAAAATGTCACTGAAAAAGGAAAAAGAAAATATCGGGACAATTTGAAAATAAGAAAGGAACAACAACGACGATGATAATTTCGCGACTGTCGACCGGTTGCTGTTTCTACTCTAGGAAAACAACTAAGCGTGTAATCTATGTTCCATCGACTTATGTCGACTTCCACGGCGCAACTAACAACGGCGCAAACATTCCAACCAGGTAAGAATAAAGAATTCTGCCTATACTAGCTCGTTGGGACAACCTTGATATTTACATGTGTGCATACGTTCATATACTCCAAGAAATCAAAGACAATGATCTTTGGCAAGAGCTTTTACGAAAATAATTAAAAAAAACAAAAGTAATGTATGAAAATATCGGTGGAATTTTAAATGACAATATTAATTAATGTTAATATTAATGTTAATCAATTAAATGGGGCTCGTTTAATTTCTATTAATCGTGCAATTATCTCATATCAATTAATATGATATTAATGGAGGAACGAACGTGGAACAACTCACCCCCTCCCTCTTCTCGTTGTCCTTTCATCCACAATTTCATTTTGAAATAACACGCGCCTTCCTCAGATTTCCCGCTAAATTTCCGTTAACTAACAACGCCAATGTTCTATCGATATTAAATTGGATAGAAATTAGAATCTTGTTCCTTCTATTAGCTATTGTGGTGAACCATCACGTAATATTGAATTACCTAACCGAATCGTTTATTGATTATTATCGAACTTATCGGATTTGAGATTTGTTATTTTTTTATTTTCATCTCTAGACGCGCTAATTCCGAGAAATTCTATAATTACTATCGTAAGATTGTTTCATCTATATATATATATGTGTAAAATATATTATTCTTCGTACCAGGTATTTTTTTTCTACCGCACGATTTATATCTTAATAAAATTTTTTATTGTTCAAGAGTAGTATCCTTTATATACGAGTAATTTATCATTAAAATAGATTGTTAAATATTTGTCATTGAAGTTTAACTATACGTTTCATTAAGGATTCAAACCAGGATTTGGTACCAGCAACCAACACACCAGAACAACACATTTTATTCAAAAATCGATAGAAGAAAGGGAATCCTATTGCACTCTTGTTGCGTTAGATTTCTCAAAAGCATTCGATTGCATTAAACATAGTGCACTGATACGTAAACTAACTAGAGAAAAACATTGGTATTGATATAATCAAAATACTCGAATCATATTTAACTGATTAGAAAATTATAAGGAAAATTTCTTAATGAAATTTGCGATTTAATTTATCAACATCACGAAGTACCCCAAGGATCGGTATCAAATCCAATAATTTTTAACTTATACATATCCGAAATATCGCAATACACCGACAATTTAATGATTTGAAACAACGGACACTTTATTCAACGAGTAAAATACCTTACTGAAATGAACACCCAAGTGTTACTTAATTATTATGATAAATAGGGATTAAAATGGTAACGCGAGTAAAAAAACAAATTGTAATTATTATACGATCATACTATCAACGCGACCAGCGCAATATTCTAATAATTGGAAATATCATATATGATTAAAATAATAAGGAAAATATTTCATTACTTGGCTTTAGAGTACTCCGAGATCGATGCATACATCAAATGACGAATGATTATTACTTAGGATGTCTTTTACCATTGTACAATCAAATAATTCTAAAGAAAATGAAGATCTGTTATAAAATTGTATTAAAGCAGGGTGCTGATCTATCAGTATCCTTTCCCATTAAAGATTTCTAATAGATGAGAAGTAAAAAAACAATTCATTTTATTCATCAGATCGACCTAATCTAACTAGAATGCCAAAAAATATTGTTACATGATAAACTCGAACAGAGATAAGTCAAAAAACAACGAGAACCCAATGCACTTTATTTTCTATACCATAATAGTTTAAAGATCCTAGGGGTAAAAATAGTATAAACATAAACTGTGTAACTTATTAGTCTCAATAAATTATCTACAATGAATGGTAAATGTATGGTGTTTCGTTTTAAGATCGAAACACATTTATAAGTATCGATTAGAAATAAGAAAAAAAAGAAATTCTTATATAATAGAGATATCCTATATGAAACAATAGAGATTTGTTTGTATAAATATTAATCATATAAAATAGAATAAGGAATTACACACGATGTGGCTGACTAAAATTAAAGTATGACTACTGAAACCTTCACATTATATATGCACTGGAAAGATAAAAGAGATAGAGAGAATGCACTCCTATTGATTCGATACATTCTGTCTATCGATATCTATTTTCTTGTCATTTATCTGTCGTTTTATTTATTACTCTGATTTTTTTTTATTTTTAAATACTAAAGCTTGTTCGACTTGGCGTATATATATCAAACAAACGCGTTTAAATTATCTACTTAGAAAAGCATTCGTGACAAATGAAGAAAGTTATATCTTGAGACTAAAAAATAAGTTCAAACCAGGGTTATCATAAGATTTAAAAAAACTATAAACTTTTTAATTATTATTATTCTATTCGAATTAATTTTTATGTTTAATTGTACAAATTTTTGCTCTTTTTATCTTTATTCTTTTTCTCTCTCTCTCTTTCTCTCGATGAAGGGTTTAGAAATAAACTTTAATAATTAAATGTTATCGTGTTGATATCTTATTGAACATTCAAGACTCGAATGATTTTTATGTGGGATCTATGGAGTTCAAAACATCGAAGTGGAGAACAAAAAATAGTAACGTGTGTATATTCGAACGGTTAAATACTTGTATCAAGAACTGTTAAGGTGATCGTTAGTTACCGATACTTATGAAACTTATAGTGCATTATCCTCATTAGTGGAATGATTTTAACGATTGATTTCATAGCAAGGAAGGGTCAAGGATGATAATAACGAAAGCGTTACGCAGCTATGGATACATACTTTAACTCCCTTGAGTGGTGAACGCTTTTGTTTCGGATTCTTAGTGATTTATGGATCTAATTCTTCTTACGTTTTCTTTGAATTCTATCTTCGATCTCTTTTTTTTTTTAGTTTTTTTTATTTTGTAATCACACGACATTGACGTTGAACGAGTTCTACTATCGTTCGAGATATCGTTCGAGATATCGTTCGAGGTAAAAACAAAAAAATAAAAATAAAAATAAAACAAACTTTTAACTAATGCACACACATTTGCAGAAATAAGAGCTCTTATTGGCTTTTATTCTTATCATTTATATATATATATATATATATATATATATGATGGTGTTAAAATAGTAATAAATATATGTTCAGATCTTTTTTTAAATGTATTTTTAAAAATGACTCAACACTTTTATATCTAATTTATTTTATTTTTTATTTTTATTTTGTTTTCCTCTTACAAAGTTAAATGTACAAATTAAAATTGCCATATGTGTATATGTATGAGTGTGCATATTAAAGAAAAAAAAAAATATGAATGTTATTTATTACTATTATTATTTTAAATCTAGGATACCATAAAAGCATAATTATTTATCCTTAAAAAAATCAATACCTTTATAAAGAAAGAATAGATCAACATATCTTTTCACACTCAAATAGTTACTTAACACAATGTTTACAATGACATTGGCCTGCTTTTTATCTCATTAATGACAAAAAATCTTCTAACAATGTAAACGATGTCACATTAATTAATATACATCCTATTACGAATTATTGCCGATTAGCAATCCGTTAAGGTAATATTGATTGCATACATCTTGTTATATATATGTGTAAGAAAAAACAACAATTATTTTTAACCGATTGAATTCAAGATATCGCTAATACGAATTCATTAAAATAATATTCTATTTATTTGTGAGAATAAATCGGCTTATATATCGATAAATGCATTATACTACATTGTACAAAATAATATGGCTTCTAGATTTTCCATTCTATGCCATTAAACGAATTAAATCCTTCTATATATATATATGGCTTCCATATGATCTAATAGATTGGACTTTTATATGCTTCCACCTTTAACATTTTACTGTATTATGTTATTCAAGGTATATTTATTATTTCTGGAGAATGAAAATTGCATTAATTTTGTCATGAAATCAAATTAATATATATTAGAATAAGATAATCAATGGCCTAGTTACGTTGGATTATTAATTCCGGTTCAATCATTAAAGTTAAGCCAACGTGGGCACAGTTAATAAAATTGATGAGTTATCTGTTCAAAAAAACAAAAAAAATCGTACTGATGACTTTAAAAAAATAATTAAAAAACGTAATCTTTTTAATAGTTTTTAAATAAGTGTAATGAAAAGGTATCTGTAGAGAAGTGAGTTGAATCCATAAAAGGGGAAGTAAAAAAACACCATATTGGAATAAGATAGTAGATCGTTATGAAAAATAGCCTTTTATGAAATTCTTGTTCATATTTTTATTCATACACTATATAGTCTACATATGTACACTGCTTAGATGTTGCACCATATTTATGCATCATGTACACGAATCACAAGAGGAGGAGATTACAAATGTTCTTATAAATGATATCCTCCAAACCTTGGTAAAGTGAAAAAGAACATATGTAAGAAAAATACACAAGGACGTCTCCCCATGTGTGAAAAGTAAGAATATTATTCTATCTACCCATCACACATGATCTGTTTGATTAATTTGAAACTTATGATTATTCGCCTTGAATCATTATCAAAGATTTTCGTTTAAGTTGTAAAGAAAAGAAGAAGAAAAAAATATAATTTACATTTAAATACGCGAAATAAATATAAATTTGATAGATTCTTACGAATGTCTTTTCTTTTACCAAGGAAAATAATTATACGAATTTCAATAAGGTTTCTAACAACTTATAATATATTACCTCCTAAAAAATAAAAATATTTATACACCGTTCGTAAAACAATATTAAGTAGATTACATCTACTTATTGAATGAAAAAGTTAAATTGGAACGAAAAAAGAAAAAAATGGATCACGTTTACATATTACTTTGTCATACACTCATAAAAAAAAAATCTAGAAACAAATAATTTGTTCTTATCTTACAATTTCTAATGCGTTGTATACCTATGATAATGTTCATCATTTAAAACTAGATCGTCATTGTCATAACGGTGATGTTTATGTAAGTAAAAACTAGAAAACCACGTAAGAATTCAGTCGAGAATATATATTTCTTTTTTATATGCATTCATTACTTTAAATCGAACACGTTAGTCTGTATATATATATACATATATATATATATATATATATATACGTACGTGATAGATAAAATGCAATTCAAATAAACAGGTATTAGATTATATAAATATGCAAATACTTTTAATGGCCAAAATAAGGAAAAAAAGAAATATAATCGTACGAAATATTAGCAATTTAGATTACAGACTTTATTGTAAATAATTGAATAATTTTTATTTTAACGTACGCGTCATCACACACACTATGTCACGTTGGTATATAATCACAGACTTATTAAAATCAATACCGGTTAATTTTTAGCGATTGATTTTATCAATGCACCGGATACATTTATTTACTTCAATTTTGTTTGTTATTATCTTATTTTATGTGTGAAAAAGTAACATGTTTAGAGAATATTCATTAAATTCAAATATTAAACTTGAAATTGATAAAAATAAGGCGCATGGCTGCAAATGTGCTGGTAATTATTTTATATTATAAAATTAATTGTAAAATTATATATTTTTTTTAAATATTAATAAATTTTAAATTTAAAATAGAGAAAATAAATCATAAAATCAAGATTTTTAATTATTTGACTTTATCTACTGTTATAATTACCAGCAAAAATATTCAAAGAGCTAAAACTGTAAACGATGTATTATGTTTTGTTCTTACTGTGTGTAACAGTATTTTATATATATTATTATATAATATTTTTGTCTTATGGTGCAACGTATAATTTTACTTTTCAGGATAGAAAATGTTTATATAAGCGGCATAGAAACGGAAGCTCATTTTAGCGAGATACGGACGACTTCTCGAAATAGAGAATAATATGCCATAGAAATCATAAGACCATGTTCACAACGCTGATCACAAACACAAATATCTTTCGTTCAGTCTTGTATAAAATTTACTCTCATAGATAGAAGAACAGTCTCGGCCACAAATATGGCAATTTTCGTTAACTTCAGTAACACTAACTTTAAACAAAAGGCTGCATCATCTTCAAGAAATATTTACTCTCACGGTCCTTTTCAGCAAGTAGTTGCATGTTTTGCTCTTTGTGCAGCGATACGTTGACTTCGTCTGAGCGTACGTGGTGCTGTTTCCGTATCATTTTCATCTTCAGATTCAAAATGATAAAATCCAGTTTTGCCTGAATATCGCCAACTAATTACCGCACCATCCCACTAAAAATAAAAGCATCACATATAGATTAATCAAAATTTGTTTCTGTTATACATATTTAAAAGAAGAACTCATATTAATTTTACCGAAGTTGAAACAATTTCTTGATGAAATGGATGCCAGCTTACATCACGTACACATTTTTTATGACCCAATAATGTATTAACTATCTGTCCAGTTAAAACGTCATATACTACAAAAAAGAAAGTCACAAAAATGAAAAATTCGATATAATTAATCCATGTAAACTGATATATTGCTAATAATTTTAATATATCAAAAAAGTTTACTTATAACTCTGCCCGAAGCACATCCTGTATAAATGTATCTTTGACCTGTTGTAGTAGAAGGAGAAAAATGGCAACGTATCAAGGTTTGAAGAACATAATGGCCACGATATGTCATGATACTGGTGTCACCTTCTAACATGTTTTTAGCTTTGTATACTGCAACACAGCATTGACAATCATATAATAATATATTAGACGTAATTATAAAATTGATGTAACAAGTGATATAAGTTGTTTACAAATCAAATCGATTAACTCTATTTTTACAATTTTTAAATAATCTTATTATTAAAGCACTCGATCAATAGTTAACTTTTCATATTTCAAATAAATTTCCTTGATAATTAGGCTTAACACCATTAGTTATAACACCATTAATTAATTCAGCAAATGGATAGCTTATGTATAAATAACAACTTGTATTATCCTTACATCTTCTGGGTACTCTTTGCCATCTGTAATCCCAATTTTGATTCGCAACTGCATTACGTGTATTCTGTTCAGCATTATGATCAGAGAATGCACGAACATCCCATAATTTGATTGTTTGGTCTTTGCTGTTTGTAACCAAATATCTACCATCTCCACGTGGGTCAATATATGTAATACCATCCATATGACCAGCTAATACACCAACTGGATGTGGATCTGTTTCACTAAGCGTTCTCCTATCCCATACCTAAATCATAATATTTGATTAAACAAATAATACATAGATAAATTACTTTTGTTAACTATTTATAATAACTTTACCTTACACAATCCATCGTCACCTGCACTGTACAAAATTTGAGAAGTATTATCAGCAAAGGCAACAGTATTTACATCATCATCGTGACCCTCGATCTGTAAAATAATAACAGATAGAATAAATAAAATTCTATATATCTCTTATAGAATATAAAAAATATATTTGATATTTTAAACACATTTATAAAATGTATATGTTATAAACAAACCCTGAAAGCACGTTGGTGACATTCTCTATCATATACATAAAGATAGCCATTATTAGCACCACCTAAAATTTCTCTACCATCACTAGAGAAGACTAAAGAGAATATACAAAATCTTCGATCTCCAGGACACAATGATAATGATTCTTGTGTATTAGAATCTCCATAAACAGGACAAAGATATACTAAGAAAAAAAATGTAGTTATAATTCTTAAAATTAAAACTATAATATATTGTTATATTTAACTAATATTATATTGCTTACAGCATTCAGACCAACTTGAGTACACGATATAGTTTCCATCCGGACTAAATGCTGTGTCTAAGATACTCCAGCCAACGTCGCGTGCTGAAATTTTTTTAAATTCCACAAATTTTCCATCATCAGTATGATAGAGACGTAACAGTTTATCTGTGAAAAAACATATTTAGAAAAAATGAATTTTATATGCTATATATATGATGTTTATATAAAATTGTGTTATACCTTGACTTGCTGTAAGGAAGAACTTTCCATCTTTCGAATAGGAACCACAGAACACTTTGCTATCATATTTTGCTACTTGACGTGGCTTGTTAGGTAAGAAATTGCTGCTTATTCTACATTTTTCACCTATACTAAAACCAAAACCAAGGGATCTCTTTTGAATCATCGATGCAATAGATAGATTTCTGTTGCCTGAATTATCTCTAAGGCCACATCCCTGCTTAGTTGCTAAACTTATTTCACTTTGCTGCAATTTAAAAAGTGAGATAAATAATTTGTGTTATAAGAAAAAAAAAAAATAATAGAGAAGAAACCTTACATCAAGTCTTGACGTGTTCGGTAAAGACATGATTTTTGGTGGCAGTAAGTTTGCTGCATATTCTTCATCAGAATCATCATGATTCGAAGCTATGATATGTACTTGTCCACTAAAAGAAATCAAGTTTATTTTAATACTTTGTATAAAGATTTATATACATGCAACATTTTTTTTTTTTAAATATATAAACCATTCAAGTTAAAGCGTATACGGTCGCTTAAGAATTTAAATATAAATAGAAAATATTCAAATAAAATAAGAAAAGTATATAAAGTAAATATTAGGAAAAGAAAATGAAAATTACAGAGTTATCATTAAGTAGAAATGACAAGAGCTCAAGTAGATTACTCTTATACAGAAAAAAAGAGTAATAATCGTATTACGTATGACGGAATATAATGACCACATATTTGGATAATATACACAACGTAATGAAATAAAAATGACAGAAGATAGCCAACGTTCGTTTATTCTATCGAATTAAGATAAACTATAAAAGTAACAGTTATTGTCAAACGATTCTCATTAAATCCTTGAAATGAAATGAGATAAGGAGGTTACATCGTTGACAGCTTCGATGTCGTCAAAGTATCGAAATCGAGGTACGAAGTGACGCAAAATGAGCGGAAATACGATATAATTGTAGAGTTAATTGGAAGTAACTTGATATAGAGGAAAATAAAGTATACGAAATAAGCGTTGTCGTCGTGATCTGGCGAATGGGGATTATACTTAGATTGAAATCATATTAAATGAGGTTAGGAAAAACAGGAGGGGTAAAGGGGAATCAATGCTCGCGCGTTTAAATGTTAAAGGTATTCGACAAACCTTCGTATCAAATATTGTAAGACCGCGGCCAGGGTTGGGTCCTGATCGAAGTCCATGTTACGAGAGTTGAAGCCTCCCATGCAGCGAGAAAATAAATAATATTTACTATTTTAAAAAGCAAACAAGATATATACTCCGAATGGTTTTGTGATGGTAAGTCGAGCTTGATGGTTTGCTTTTAGTGATGATGTTGGCTCTGAGGTGGAGAGTATTGGAGGGAGGTAAAAAAACAGCCAAAGTCGGTACTAGTAGTATTATAGTGACTCTCTCTCGAAAACTTAAGGAACGATCTCGATTTGATTTTTATCTTTCTTTCGGTTTATTTATCACACATAGAGAGATATGTCCTATCTAGATTTTACATATTGCAACGCGCATTTTCTTTTTGCACATATATATGTGCAATCTTTTCTCTTTTTCTTTCTTTTTTTTTTCTTTGACAATAAATTCATTCAAAGTACATATATTTTACAATGATATTTTATTTTTTTTTTATTCGTGAGATTACGTCGAGCCCTCAAATATTCTTTTGTTTCTTATCTCTATACATTTGTCGTTTTCTTTGTTTTTTTGTTCTGTCTTTTAATCCTCTCGCAATATAAGAATTCTAAATTCGTATTTGATCACGTTGCGATAAAGTGACGTTGACATTTGATCGAGACTGAGGAAATCAACGTTAAGAATTTTTTCATATGTAAATGCAAATCGCACGCGTATGATTAACGGTTAATTTATCTTTTTTTTTTTTTATTTTTTCTCTCGAAAATGACTTTACTTTGCGATTAAATTTGTCCTGATTCTCTCTACTATTGTCATTAATTATAGTCCAATAAAACATATCAACAATTAGCTTGCAAATGAATAATATTATTGCAACAGATCGTATTTTATAAATCGAATTCACTTCGAGATCATAGGGATTTGTTAAACCAGAAAATTACAACATATGATTAATCATTAACCTGATATTTTTGCGTAATTATTTAATGGATGCTAATTATACATACATGATAAGCAAAATCATTTTTATTAGACGTCTATAAATGTTTTTGATAAATAATCGAAAAAAAGATACACATTTCATTCGTAATTATTTACATATAATATTATTTTATAGGTATAGGGATATAAGGATAAAAAAATATTGCATTATTTTTATTTCATAATTTGATGTATAAAAAAACTTATTGTATTTTAGATTATTATAAATCACGTTGGATAGATAAGAAATATTGCAAGTCAGACTTTACGTTATACACTTAAGTAAAATTGCATCTAACAATGCAATAATGTATTATATATATATAGCGACATAGTAACGTAGACGTTTCTTTATTGGTTAAACATTTTACTATCTCTCAATCTGATTCGTACTTTTTAAAGTAAATACTATTATGTGATTGGACGACGGAGCAATGAATCTAAGATGGAGAATGGCGGGAATATTTGAATCTTCAATCAAATATCAATAATCGATAACTAAAAAGTAATAGTCGACAATGTAGGAAACTATTTATTAAATAAAGAAAAAGAATTATTGGGATAGGAAAAAAAAATAATAAGAAAATGAATCAGTTTTATCTACGTATTATTTTATATTTCAAAAAAATGAATTATTCATTGTTATTTTCTACAACAAATGCATGAATAATATAACTTATAAATTAGTTTTTGTTAGGTAAAATATAAGATTATATTTTATAATGTCAAATTTAATTTCTAATTTAAATACGTAACGAAGAATATAAAGAATAACCAGGAATCGTTATTTTATTGTCTAAATGTTTAAGATTTTCAGATGAACCTTGTTTAAAGTGCAAAGTTCTTATTACAATTTCGAATTTGAATATCCGATATTTGCCTGAAGCGATTAAGAAATTTGCAATGTCGATCAAAGTTATCGAGTATTCCCTTAGTAGTCATTCGTTTATCTACATACATATATAAGTATTAAAAGAATTACGTAGAGATGAAGATAAAAAGATAGCTAGAGAGAAAGAGAAACAGGAAGAAGATAGTAAAATAGGATAGTAGAAGAGAGAAAGATAGAGAGGTATTCCCGGGGGAAGAATTCTGCGCATCTTTTTTATAGAATATTACTTACCTTATTGCTCTTAAGTTTAGACATACCGAGTACCATTAAAGATAAAAATAATGTTCCTCTACAAGAAAAATTATTATCATTTTTCTGATATCTTTTGCTAATAGTAAGAAGAACCGAAAAATATATTTAAAAAATCGAGATTTATTAGGATTATTTAAAAAAAATAGACGCTGGAATGAATTAACCGAGCCACAGGAGGGACACGTTCGATTCGTCAGCCGATAGTCGAGGACGAACTTGTTGCAATCAACGGCCTTGACCTATATAGAGAATGCTCAAGGCCGAAGTACATGAGCAGCCGGCATTGAACGGGGAGACGATGATATGAGCTAAAGATGGGCAAGAAAATAGCTTAAAAGGATATTAAATAGAAGATTGGTAAACGTGTAGGAAGAAGATAAGAATATAGTAGTAAGGGTTGTAGAAATACTAGTAGTACGAGTATATTGACGAGAAGAGAAACGTCGTGAGAGAAGTAATGGAGAGTCAGGAAGTGAGGTGAGGTGAAATGAGGTGAGGTGAGGTGAGGTGAGGTGAGACGAGGTGAGACGAGACAAGGCGAGGCCAGGCCAGGCCAGGCCAGGTCAAACTCTATCCTCTGACCTCAAATCCCCTAGCAGTTGCTGGTACCTGCAGCCCAGACCTATAATTTCCAGGCAGAGAGGCCTACACACCCTGGCCGGAGCCGGCCCGGAGCCGATCCGTACCTAACTATATATTTCTATTACGCTTTGGAAGCGTTTGACGCTTGCGCACCTTCACTCACACCGGAGAGGATTCAAAGTGGGCTGAGAGAATGAAAGAGAGAAGGAGATAGAATGAGTAAGTGAGTGAGTATAATAGAGAGAGAGAAAGAGAGAGGGATAGGGAAAGAGAGAAAGAGGGTGCTCCCGTTATCCTGTAAACAGGATCTTTCCTTCAGCCCTCCCCAGTCTCGCGACAGACTTCGGTCGTCCTGTTTGAAGAAACATTTCGTGCATCACATTTTTCAATTATAATAATTAACAGAATATATTTTATAAAGTTGATATTTTGAAAACAAAAAATAGAAGAGAACACGCGTATTACATATATTTTATATATTATTAAAAATAAAATATATAATTGTAATTATATATATATATATATTTTTTTTTTGTTTATCTTTTCTCTTTTATAGAATATTCTTATACAGTGTGTCACGTCTCACGACCCGCGCGGGTGTCGATCCGTTTACAAGTATATATTCAGCACGTAACTCTCGGCAACAGGTGAGATATTGCCAGCTACGAACTGACTACCATTCCTTTTCCTTTTTATTCTTACTTTAGATCTATTTTTAATACTCGATAATATAGCTTTTACTTCTTTCTTCTCTCTCTTTCATTCTCTCTCTCTCTCTCTCTCTCTCTCTTGTCTACGTTTAGTCGACTATGAAATATCGGATATCAAGGTTTACGACATTGAATTGCTGTTAAATCGAAACTTGATTTTTTACGAGGGTAAATGAAAGTTTAACAGAATTACAACTAGAATTCTCTCATTTAAACCCCTAGATCATCTTGGATTAGTCAGTCATCTTTATTCAATTAGTAATGAATAATTTATCTCTTCTCGCGGTTATTTCATTTCAATAAAATTATTTCTTATCTTTTTTTTTTTTTTTTTTTTTTTCTATTATTTTAATAAATCTTATTTTTGAGACTTTCTTAGTTCCGTATTTAATTGTCTCCTTCGAAAAAATGATTTAATTAAAAACTCATTCGAGCATTCGCGAGACTTTCGGTATTTCGATTGTAAGTTTTCATTCTTTTCTTTCTTCGTAAATAGAAAACTCGGATCTATTCTTTTGGTTCGGTCAAAGAACAAGTTGATTTCGTTAACTTTGTATAGAAAAAAATGTCGTAAGAAAGGTATCTTTTATTTGAAGAATTTAATGAATGAGAATATAACATTGTGTGTGTGTGTGTATATATTTTTTATTTCTCTTTCAAACTGCAATTTAATCGATGTGATTACATTGTTTTTTTTTTTCGAATAGTAGGAAAAGAAAAAAGGGAAAGTTTTGATTTTGTCACAGCGTAAATAGATGGAGAGTGCAACGTCACGAGAATGAATGTATTTATAGATGAAATAAGAGACACTCTTTTTCAATGTTCAACACAAACACACGTGTATAGAAATTATTTTTCAAATATAAACCCAATTATATCGTTCAAATTTATTTTGACTATAAACTCGACATTAATCAAACATACGATAAACGTTTGTTAAAACAAAATCCTTTCTCATATTTTTCTATTTTAAATAATTGATCAACAAGTTGCACTGATTTAAAATATTATATATCAGGATCACGAAAAAAGGAAAAAAATCTTGCTCGAGCAAGAGTCTCGAATCGAAGGGTCGCGTCCGAACAATTCTTGACACGTTCTACTGGGATTAGTAGAAAAAAGGGCAGAGGGTAATCGGATACCACCCCCGCAAGTACATTTATATGAAAAATTGCAAACTATATCATTTTATTTGTATTTTTAATGTCATATTGGGGTTGATATCAAAGCGGGAGGGGGTTGTGGGGGAGACGGGGAGATCATAAAAAATTCAATTCTTGTTTTTACGAAAGAAAGAAGAAAAAAATATATTAGAAAAATCATCAATGTTCTCATATGTTTCATGTTCGATTTTCGTTTCGTTTAATATCAACATAAAAAAAAAGAAAAGAAAAAAAAGGAAAGATAAAGGTCAGAATAAGAAAATGAATTTAAAAAAAGGACGAAAGGAAGGAAGGAAGGAAGGAAGAAGAATCGATTCGATACGGAAATGCATCTATCGAGAATCATATTTCCGTAACGGAAAGCATTGTATCTCACGTATCCGATCATGAATTGTCTTATATTCCTTTGTTTGATCATTTCCAATAGTAGCAATATAATCGTGTTTCATTAATACGTACGGATATAAATTAACAATTGAGTAAAACGTATGTTTACTATTACGTTTAAACCACAAGTTTCACGCTCGCTTAAAATAATATACAAGGCAAGATTATCATAGATAATAGTAAGATTAAAGTTTATTCGTGTTTTTAATTGACAGTTTGAAAAAAAAAACAATTGAAGATAGATCTAGGGCAATGATACGGAAAGGAAAGAGTGTTATACTCGAAAGGTAAACCCAATGGGTTATCGCGTACGATCGATTTTACAGTAATACTACTCGCTTCTCTTACAGTTTGCTGTGTCAGAGTCTCTTTTTTCTTCCCCCATTGCACTCCTTTTCTTTTTTTCACGTCACTAACTCTCGTTCGCATGTTGCCTCAGAGATTTATCTTTTTTTTGTTGTTGTTTGTTTGTTCTAATGTTTGCTCGCAATAATCTATTTTTTTTTTCTCATTGACATTCCGTATCCGAATGCGTGTGCGTGATTAAATATTTTTCTACACGATAGAAAATGATTTGATATTTTATATACGTGTGTTCATTTAATTATTTATTATTTTTTATATATAATTTTTTTGTTGGAATAATTCGTTAGATGAAAATATATGAAAATTAATAGAAAGTTTATTAAATGTATATTGGTGTTGTTTCATTTGGTAGAGACTTTAAGAAGAACTAGCTAAGACTGTGTTTTCGTTGGAGTGGATGAAATCTATCAAAGGTAGATCATCATGTTTGCGAAATCTAAGAGCAGCAGTTCGTCGTCCCATTTTCAATTAGCAAATCCAATAAGAAATTTTTGTGATATTGGAAAACAAACCGCTACTGCGGGACCGGAACATGTTTGGCGTATCTATGATGCTTACCGTAAAGAAGATGGAAAGGTAATTTCATTGAATTGTTCATGAAATTTCTAAGAATAATATATACAATCATTTTATTATTGTTTAGCTTATGATTTATCAAGATTATAAGTATAATTTTAATGTATACTAAATGTTATTATGTTATGTTCGTGTGTTAAAACGATTTTGTTATCCTAATGCTTATGCATATCTCTCGTAAACGGTGTTAACGATTATGCGATAGTGCAAGTATTATGAAAAGATAAAACCGGTAATACTATTTTCCTTTTATCCGTATTACTCGGATTAACTCTAAGAGAATTAAACCGGAACTGCAAATATTTATGTATTAGAAACACAACATTCGCTCTTTTCGCAAGAGTCGTTTTCTCAGTGGTCTCATGGGTTTGAATAATAACACGGATCTACATATATATATATATATAATGAAATCGATGAGAGAGAACATAGTGAAAAAGATAGAAAGAGATAGAGAAAAAGTTTAAACAAATACAAAATTATGAATTAAAATGATTCCTTAGCGAGATATATTTTATCCGATGAAATTGTGCCCAAATGATTATGATATAAAAATAGAAACAATTGATTTTATATTTTAATTCAATATCTAAATTATATAGGAATGACATTTGTTAGGATTTCATTCTTCGTTTTTCATCAAACGTGTGTCCTTACTATGCATGCACCAAGAATTACCTTGAAATGGTTTAGAGTAACTTGTCAAGGTATGATAAAGATATACAACTTGATATTAATTATCAAAATGGAACACGAACGTAAGTCTCGTTCAAAGTTATGCATCAAATTTCACAAAGTCTCTTTCTCTCTCTTTCTCTCTTTTTTTTGTTGTTTTCTTTTTGTCTTGTGTGATTCAATAAACTGGGAATAAAACGTTTGATAAGTATTGGCATTATGTTTACTATAATTTCAGAAGAAAAAAAAAGGTTGTTCTGAATTTGGATTATTTCATTCGCGAGTTAACAAATTTCTCATCGAATTTAATATAACACAATTCACCATGTTTTCAAATTAACGAGAGATTAATCTAATTATTTCAATCTCAATATGTTTTATTTATGAAATATCTTTTTTTAAAAAAAAATAACGTAATCAAAGTTGTGAAATTGTGGTTATTTGGTTGCTGTTGTTGTTGTACGAAAAGAAGAAAGAAAATAAAAGAAAGAATTCGTTCGTAGGAAGTTTCCGTATTTTTCTTCGACAAACGTTCGGTGGAAAAACTTCACAAACCAAAACGCAAGGAAATTGTTACCGAAATATTACGCTATGGTGCTAGAGAATTGCAACGTTTTTCCCATCCAAAGATATTGCAGGTATGTAATACAATGTAAATATTATAATATATTGCATAAATATATTTATTGTATATAAGTAAACACAAATTTATATTTAATGATGTAAGTTAAAAGAAAACGTCGTTTACCGTCGTCTTAGTGTTTAAAAAATTTTATATTTATTTATTCAAATATTTTTCATTCAATTTATTATATTTACAAATTTATATATATATATTCAATTTATTATTCAAAATTTATTTATTCAAATAAATTGAATAATATATATACATCCCGTAAGAGAAATAAACATCCCATAGAAAACAAGGAATTAAATCAATCAAAAGCTTCAAACAAGTCGTAAGTTCAATAATTTACCAAAGATTTATAATATTATTAACATAAATACATTTTTGATTATACATCCGAACACAGAAATGGAATAATTTTACCTGATTTAAATTTATTTTTCTTCTCGTTCAACTTTGACAAATAATAAAATGTAATTCAACGTTACCACCTACGGTTTTATACTTTTAAAGATTTTTTTCCTGGAAAAAATTTTATATCTGAATAAAATATTGAGCGCTTAATTACGTATGTTCTTAAATCCCAAAGGGAAAGGGAGTCGAATATTTCATCCGTTCGAAATATGAGGGAAACCATCCCTTTACGTATTATGCGAAATATTTCTATATATCATCCCACACCTTCATATTTTTTATACATACATACATATACTATAATACATACGTAGATATATTATATTGATTTACAGTCAAATTTTAACAAGTTTCCTACCAAGTCATTTTAGATTTCAAATCACGTGCACAATTGTTGATATTCGATAAATATATTTAGGAAAATAAAAAAAGAGAGAATCTATTTTTTGATACATTCTCTTTTTTGTTGAGTACAAATTTCTTTAAAGGTAATTCAACAAATTCACATTTGTAAAATTCGAGATATCTTTTTAATTTCTTGCAATTATTTTTCTTTATATATGTTACCGTTAAAACCGTAAATCAGTCATTGCTAGTAATTCCTAGGTATCGAACATAATACTTTGATATCCTATAAAATATCAAATTATTATTTTTTGAAAAGTTTTGGTAAATATTTTTTATGCTAAAAGTGAATAGATTTTAATGATTTTTACATTAAAATAAAGTACATTCTTTTGTCTATGCGTAGAATACTGTTTTGAGTTATAAATTTAGCATGTAAACTTCAAAAAATGTCTGAGAATGCAATGCTGTAAATTGTGCATCTTTGCAATTTCTTTGAAAAGTTTCGGTAAATATTTTTTATACTTTAAGCAAACGTATTTTCATGATTTTTATATTAAATTAAAGTGCACTCTTTTTTCTATACGCAGAATACTTTGTAGAGTTATGAAAATCAAATGTAAAGTGCAGAAAATGTCAGAGAATGCAA